AATTTTGAAAATCCTCCTCTGCTTTGGTGACCTCCTGCTCCACATAAGTAATATCATCAAATATATTACCAAAAATCTCCTTATTCCACTTTCTTAGCTCTTTCTTAAGTCTCTGAAGTTTGATAACCAAACCTTGCATTCCTCCTCCTGTGAAACTCTCATTCCAATTTTTCTCAACAGTAGTTAAGAAGGAATTATGTGATAACCACATATTTTGGAACTTAAACTGTTTTGGCCCGGGCTGAAAAATGTTTTTGCATTGAATTAACATGGGAGAATGATCAGAAGGGGCCTGATGTAAATTAGTAACAGTGATTTGGTCATAAGAATCAAGAAATTCTTCATTAAATAGACATCTATCTAACCTCCTCCAAAGTCTCCCTCTTGATCTTACTCCTGTCCATGTATATTGACATCCTGCATAGGGAATATCAAGAAGATTGCAATGAGCAATGCAGTCCTTAAACTCAAGCATACTAGTCAAGTCAGGTATTGATTCTCCTTTATGTTCTGCATGATCCATGATAGTATTGAAATCACCCCCAACCATCCATGGTTCTTGAATACGATCTGCCAAATGGATTAACTCACCCCACAATTCTCTCCTCTCAACCACAGTATGTTTGGCATATACAGCAGTAATCCATCCTACATTGTTCTCATAGGAAATTTTAAAATGGACAAATTGAGAACTCCAAGTAATGTCAGAAACATTGACAGAGTTGGCATTCCAAAAAACCCATACCTTATTCATACTGTTGAAAAGTACATCAGTGTAACCAAACTCCAACATAAAAGAATTAGCTTTCTCAGAGTCTATTAAAGGTTCAATAACAACAAGAAAAATAATCCTCCATTTAGTAATTAAATGAGATAGTCTTGGCCCGGAGGATGCCAAGCCTCTCACATTCCAAATGAGTCCATTCATGGAGGAGGGAGGTGATTACTTTGAGATTGCCTTTTGGCAGCATTCCTTGTAACCACCCCAGGAGTTTGCTGAGCTTGATATCTTTTCTTCCTTCTTCTCCCTACCACAGTGAAGCCTTCCACCGTATCAAAATTTTCCTGAGAATTATTCTGAGCTAGAGTAGCTAATAGCTCAGCATCATCTCTACTATGTCTAATTGATTGCAGGTAAGTGACCTTATTTACTATCCCAGGTAATGCCTCAAGCCAATCCTGCTTCGATTCACACCTGTGAGATAGCTCTGAATCTGAGCCATATTCCTTTCCCGCCAGCTCCAAGTCAAATTCCTTAATATTTTCCATTGGCTGAATAGAAAAATCATCTTTTGTTTGTATTCTTGCGTCAGAGATGGTTAAGCCAGGAATATCCCCTTGAATGATATGTTTTAATGTGCATTTATCCTGACTAATCTCTTTATTCTTGTTGTTTACAGGTGGCTCCTCATGGAAGACCTCCTCTGAGTCAGTCTCAGAATCTTCATGTACTGGAACGACATCAACTTGTGATCTGGAAGAGGATGGCTCCCCCTGCCTTGATGGAAGAACTTTAGAAGGCTGGAAAACCACAATAGCCTTCCCCTTGTCCTTTATATTCTGAATCTTCCCCTCCTGTGGATTGTCCTTCTTCTTATGGTCCTTTGTCTCAGTCCCCTTTCCTTGTGTCCCTTGTGTAATAATTTTCTGTTTTGCAACCCAGCGAGGACCTGTATGAGTGTATGAATCTACCATGGCCTTAGTACTTTCTTCATTCATGCTCTTAGGGCATCTATTAGCTTGGTGCCCTAAATGAAGACATGATAAGCAGTATTGAGGTCTATTTTCATAGATAACTGCTTGCATAAATCCTGTTTTCCCTGTTTGAATCCAAACCTTGGATGGCATCTCCGAGGTAAGATCCAATTCCACACATATTCTAGCAATAGAGGGCCTGGCCAGAGTGGCCGTAGCTATGTCCAGTTTAAGAGGTTTCCCTATTAAGCTAGCAATAACAAACAGAGCTCTCTTATCTTGAAGGTGAATAGGCAGACCTTCAAAAGCTAACCAAACTGGGACTATGGGTGATTCCACATTAGGCATAAAATCCGGGGACCATTTGGTCACCCTCATGATGCTCCCATGAATATCCCATTCTCTTCGATTCCAACATCTAATGTAATCTTCTTCCAACTCAAAACGGATCAAAACATGTTTCTTCTCAATTAAACCCAAATGAAAATTTCCTTTAAAACCAATGATTTCAAAGGACTTTCGTAACGTATTCATTGGAGGGCGCCCTCTATAAAAATAACCAATCAAGGCTCGCTTGTGCTTTTCTGCAAGAACATGGACATCCTCCTCTCCGAAATTGGCTGCCGGTACTCCCTTGAAACGAGAAGTAGAAGTAGATTTCAAAGCCACATCTTCTTTGTCCATCAATACCGACACAAAAGATCTCTTACCCCCAGCCCAAGCACCAGCCGGAGGTGGTTGTTCAGAAGACGGCATCGCCGTCTTGGAGTTAGGGTTCGCCATCATTCTCTTCCAGTTCTTCCCACACTCTAGTCATGTGTCTCTACTTCCACTAAGTAGAATTCATTATCATTTACATTCATAAATGTTACATATATAATTATATACTACCTCCGTAAACTTTTAGTTGCAACATTGGACTTTTTGACTACATTTTATTAATTGATGTATTATAAATTAAATTTTTAAAAAATATTGTTAAATTCTTCTCATTCTATATTTTCAAAATATAAAAATTTTAAGTTTTTTAGTAATACGAAATGAAAGTTATTAATGGTCAAACTTGTGCGTTGGCAAACGTGAAATGTTGACTGTTGCAATTAAAAAGGAATGGAGGAAGTATATACTACGTATTATAATTAAAATATCATCAAACATTCAAACCTGATATATAGCACCTTCAATTCATTATCATCCCTTTGAGTTTCAAATCTTTCAAAGAATAATTTATATGACATTCTTGTTGCAGATCGATGCTTTAACAATCTAGATTCTTTGTACGCAATATTTCAGATGTGAACATATTTGCTACTTTAATTTGTCAATATATGTGGACAAATGTTCACTTGCCCTTTATTTTTCTAATTGAAAATAACATGAAATAATACGTGTCGTTGTGTCAAAACCACCTTAGTACAAACTTAATATAGTTGTCGATCATTGACAAAGAAGTATCATCCTCTAAACAATGAAAGAGGCCAAGCTAGAAAGAAGAAATAATAACTACGAAAGTACGTGGCTCTACATTGAATTAATTAAAACTTAATTCATATTTTTCAAATATAAGGTTATGTATAATTTATTCCTTAACAAGGATTTATATATTTCTTAGCTTGAAAAAGCGTAAAAATTTAGTCAAAAGTGTAAATTAATCCAACAAGTTGCTCAATGTATTTTTATTAAATTAATATACAAGTATCTAAATTAAAATATACCCAATTGGCCAATTCTATCTATATTTTATTGCACCCTCACATTGTGAGGGAGACCGGAACCCGGACCGGACCGGATGGATCAGCCCGGAACCCGGCAAACCGGGCCTTAATCCGGCCCAGTTGTGTACTAACCTGTTAACCGAGATCAAAAACAGAAATACCCAGAAACCCGGACCCAACCATGTATGCCACAAACCGGAAAACACGGTACTATAGGGGTGGGTTCGGTTAGTTCTTGCGGTTCAGTTTTGACCTAAAACCAAATATAGAATCGAAGTAAAAAGTTCGGTTCGATTTCGGTTCGGTTATACACTCCAAAACTTGGAACCACGGTTTGATTGGTTCGGTTTGTTTCGATTCGGTTTCGGTTTTTTCGGTTTTTTTACCAAAAAATTATCACTTGATTTAAAACTGATTTAACAAATACTTAGAGGGATCAAACATATTACATAACGAATGCAAGCATAATACAACAACAAATAAAATAAAACTGAGAAGAGATAAACATGTCTTGAATTATATGAGTATGCGAGATAGATAAAACTATATATATTATTGAATTGATTTAATTTGTTTGTGACTAGTTCGAAAAAAGTTTATGAATATATACGTTTTATGTGATATAGTTGAAATTTGACATGAAATTTGGCACAGAATTTGGCACAAAATTATCGATTTGAGATATCAAGAGCACTTGAGATACTCTATTTTTTGTGATCTTCCTATGATTAAAACTCTACGTCGCGGTTCGGTCCAAATAGCTCGTGCCAAGTGTTTTTGGCACGGATTTGACCTAATCCCTGCCAAAATCCTTGTCAATCCCGTATTTTTTTGTAGTGATATTAGTCCAATAATAAATTAATGGAAGTATTTAAATTACAAAGATAACCTTAGCATGGCTATTATCAATCAAAAGTATTCTACTGAGAGAGGGTTTGACATTAGTTTTTGTGTCTAGAGTTTATCAATACCTATTTGGGATTTAGTAGAACTAACGGGTGGCTACGATGCGGCAGGTGACTATCCTCCAATGGTGAATGAAAAAGGTGAGCTAACTACAAAAAAAAAAAACACTCGTTTAGTCACGGACCGTAGTCACGGATTTGGTCCGTGACTAGCCTAGTCACGGACTAGTCACGGACTAGTCACGAAAATTTAAAAAAAAAAGTAGTCACGGATTTTACCGTGACTACAGCCGTGACTACACGTAGTCACGGATTTTTGTCCGTGACTAACATCCTCCGATTGCCCGTTTTATTTTCCGGCCTGGCTTGTTTTACTCCGGCGACATAGTCACGGCCACATCCGTGACTACAGCCGTGACTAAATTTAAAAATTAATTTTGCATCTCCCATAAATCAATCCGCAACGGTATTATGTACGGATAAATTTAGTCACGGACATGGCCGTGACTATGTCCGTGACTACTTTGATTTACACGTCATTTACACGTCATTAACACGGATCGGACGCGTAATGGACACGGTTTTGCTTAGTGACGGACAAATCCGTGACTAAGTCCGTGACTAAATTTTTTATATATGCAGGAGCAGTTCATTCAACAGAACCACACCAATTCATTCCCAGTATATACAATATCTGTTTGAAAGATCGAAGGATGTAGTCTGTCTTCTATCATTTTCCCCATTTATGCAGTTAAGGTATGTTATTTGAATTATTATTTTTATTTAGAATTAGTTGGTTCAATTTAAATTATTAAAACTATTAAATTAGTGATGTTGTTAACTAATTAACAACATATTCAACTGTAAGCGTAGTAATGTCATAAAATTAGTTAAACTGTTAGGTTTATAAAATAATTTAATTAAAATTAGTTAGCTAAACGTAGTTTTAAACGTAGTGATCTTTATGTTAAGTGAAATTAGTTAGTTAAACGTACGTTAGTAATGTGTTAATTAAGTGTATTGTGAATTGTTATTGTAATTGTGTATTATTTATTAATTCAAATGACCTTATATACATGTTCAAATTATTGGGTTTAATTTGGTCATATTATTTAATTTAGTGAATTGGAATAGTTAATTGTGTAGTACTAATAACATTAAATGTCATTAACGTAATAATTTAGTGTAGGTTTAAATGTAGGTTTACAAAAATAATTTAATTAAAATTCGTTAGCTAAACATAGGTTTAAACGTAGCTAGTGATGTGTTAATTATGTTATATTAGTTAGCTAAACGTAGGTTTAAACGTAATGATGCATTAAAAGAGGACGGAATGAACTAGTTAAATTTAGTTAAATTTAACTAAATGAATTAGTTAAATTTAGTTAAACGTATGTTTAATTTAAATGTAGTGTTAATAAATTACTTAAATTTTTTGTAATATTAGTTAAATTTAAGTATTAGGTAATTACTTATATTTTGTGAATTATTGTTGTGAATTGTGTGCATTTCATTTAATTTAGTGAAAATTAGTTAGTTGATTATTTAGTGAAATAACTCACTTAAAATTTGTTAGTATTATTGTTACATTAATAACCTTCGTTTTGAACGTGTATACTTTTTTATTATAATATTCAGGCATAATGTATAAACAAAATAGAAGTTGGATGTATGATAAAGATGCGGTATTGTACGGAATGCAATCAAATTTTCTCGAGGGAGTTGGGGAATTTATTGAATTTGCACTTGAACATCCGGCTTATATGAGTGGTGATAAAATAACATGTCCATGTTCAAAGTGTAAAAATCTCAAATTTAAAGACCCACACGAAGTTGGGTATGATTTGTACGCGGTCGGTTTTGTTCCCAATTATTATAATTAGACTTCTCACGGCGAACCTTTGGATCCATCTGTTATACCACAAACGGTAGGTTCGTCTCGTTACGTCCCTCCAGAGATGAGTGCGTGGGGAGACCGTGCTGAAATGAGGTGGGACCAACAAATGGTATATGACGCATACGGTGTACCGATGTCTCAGTTCAACCCCCCACAACCACCTAACGACCCCCCTGAAGCCTCAACCTCGTATCAACCAGATGCGGATGAAAATCCGACATTTTATCAACCTTATGTGGATGAAGGTTTGGCTGAGAGATTTCAGGATGTTCTAAAAGCTGCCGACCAACCTCTGTATGCTGATTGTGAGGGATACTCTCAGCTATCCGCCGTTACTGAATTCATGAACATAAAAGCCGAATACAGTCTCCCTGAAACTTGCATGAATAGAGTCTTGCAGTCAGTAGGAGGGATGCTACCGCGAGATCATACCCTTCCGGATTCATATTACCACATGAAGCAGTTAATGTCTAAGTTGGGGCTACCTTGTGTTGAAATTGATGCGTGCCCGGAAGGATGTATGTTGTTCTGGAAGGAGGATGAGGCACTTGAGTTCTGCAAGTTCTGTGGTGGAGACAGATACAAACCTGTTCGTCAAGGTAAAAAGAAACCACGACATAGGTCTGCACTGTCTAAACTGTATTACCTCCCAATAGCTCCTCGACTGCAGAGGATGTACGCTTCGACTGCTACTGCGAAACACATGACATGGCATGTTGAGCACGAAACCAACGAGGGTATGATGGCTCACCCTTCGGACTGTGAAGCCTGGAGACACTTTGACCGCTATCATCCTCAGTTTGCTATGGAGCCACGAAATGTGCGGCTGGGATTGTGCTCAGATGGATTTGCTCCTTTTGGCAGGTTAGGCAAGAACTATTCATGTTGGCCGGTCATGTTAACTCCTTACAATCTCCCTCCCGACATGTGCATGAAAAGTCATTTCATATTTTTGTCTTTAATTTGTCCGGGTTCCAAGGATCCTGGGCGAAAGATAGACATTTATCTCCAACCCCTTATCGAGGAGATGAAAGAACTGTGGGCCGTTGGGACACCAACTTATGATGTTTCATCAGATAAAATGTTTATCATGAAAGCTGCAATCATTTGGACCATTAGCGACTTCCCTGCCTATGGCATGCTTTCGGGATGGAGCACACACGGTTTGATGGGATGTCCGATATGTATGGAGAAATCAGGTGCCAACTGGCTTAGTTACAGCAAAAAAGGAAGTTACTTTGATTGTCACCGCAAGTTTCTCCCGGAAAGGCACCAATATCGAAAGGACAAGAAGTCTTTCATTAGAGGCAGAGCGGTACGAGAGAGCCCACCCCCGAGATTGACCGGTGAAGAAATTTATAACCGGGTTCGACGTTTTCCTACGGCTATGGAAGAGCCAAACCAAGAGCCATATGGGTATCACCACAAACTCAACACAAGGACGTTGATCTAGATGCTTTTCAGCAACAATTTTTCCAACCTCCGCCTATTGTTGAGACGGTCAACTATGACATCCAATTAAGTGATCCAAATGGCGGACGTGTTGAAGTCATGCCAGAAACGCACCTTCCGGACCCAACCATTCCATCTGAGCGCGAAATTGAGGAAATGTATGTAGCACAACAAAACGCTCAATATCAGGAAGAAGGTGAATGGATAGACGGTTCAGATACAGAAGAAGATACTGTATATGTAGAAAATGACGATTCTGATAGCGAATAATTGTGCTGTTGTAATTTCAATTTTATTGACTTCAAATATTTGTGCAGATTTCTTCATCATTATATTACTCCAACAATATTTGAATTTTTTTCTATCTTTATCATTATTATTTATGAACAAAAAATTACTCCATATTAATTCAACCACAACAAGTTTTTTATATCCATATTATAAATTCAAAATAAAATTTTTCACAATTTGAAGTTTGAAAATTAAAATTTATCCAATACAAAATATGAAATTACTCTATATTATATCCATGTAATTTCAAATTTCGAAGATTCAAATATTATTTTTGATATAAATAAATTCGAAAATTTATTTTAATAATTTTTAATAATTCGAAATTCGAAAATTAATTTTAATAATTCTAAGTCTATTCGAAAATTAAAAAAAAAGTAATTTACTTTTACTAATCTGAATATTATAATAAATTTAGATATTAATAAACAACTAACAGAGATTTATTTATCAAATTTCAAAGATAAATACAAAACACACAATGAAATTGTCACATATTATTTATCAAACAACTAACATAGATTTATTTATCACATTAACCTAACTAACATTATTCATTCCTCAATCGGAAACTTTCAAGAGGCCTAGCCCACAACTCCTGAATTTTCATTCGAGCTTCTTCGTTGATCGGGTCCATATACTCTGAAACTTCTTGTGCACGTTGAAGCATCCGACACAAATTTCTTGCTTTTGACTTGCCCAATGAGTCGGATTCTTCATCTTTATAATCGCCAAAACTTTCAAGGGGTCTAGACATCAACTCCTTGATTCTCTCGTATGCTTCCACGGTTTTCGGCTCCATAAGCTGTGTAATCAGCTTAAGTCGTTTCATATCTCTACACATCGAATCCCAGTCAATTGGACCTCTATTATCCATTTTTTTTACAGTCCAGTCTTGGGCCGGAGAAAGATGATTTATACTAAAAAATTTCAAGTTGTCACGGTCTTAGTCACGGATACAGCCGTGACTAACCTGTCAGTCTGGCAGCCGGAGAGGTGTCAGGGCCGCCGGTCTAGTCACGGTTTTAACCGTGACTAGAACCGTGACTAAATTCAAAATTTGAATTAGACACGGTCTTAGTCACGGGTAAAACCGTGACTAAACCGGTCAAAGGCGGCTGATGCCGCGTGGCTGATTTCGTTGATTACGAAGGGTTTAGTCACGGATATATCCGTGACTAAGACTGTGACTACACCGATATATAAAATCAACACTTAGCGATTTTTTCAAACCTACGCTTCCCAAACCCTATTTTCCTCTCAAACTCTTTCTCTTCCAACTTTCCTTCCACTGCCGCCGGTCTGAGTGCAACGCCGCCGGTCTGAGTGCAACGCCGCCGCCGTCCGTCGTCCGCCGTCCACTGCTGTTGTTCGCCGCCGGTTGCCGCCGATCACTGCCGTCGTCTACCAATCCTCTTTTTTCGCTCCTCTCTCCACATCAAGGTTATGTTTTCTCGATTAATTTTTTACTCACAAATGCGTGTTTATGTACTCAAATGCATGTTTATATGCTCCTAAGCATGTTCTATTTATTGAAAATTGCATGCCTTAATGATTCATTCTACAATTACATATTTATGTGTATGTTTTTACGTTTATACATACAAATGAATGTTATTATTATGTTCGCATGACAATATTAATTTGTAATATTGTAATATTAATTTCGCATAACAATATTAATTTGCATGCTCGATATTAATCTCTCCATAATTCTTAGTTTTGTTTTAGTTTCGAATTACAATATTAATTTGCATGCTCAAAGTTGACAAAATATATTTTTCCTTTTTTGTTTGATGTCTAATACGCATGCTTTAGATATAGTTTGATTCAATTTGATTTTTTTTGTATAAGTTTAATATGCATGGCTAAATATGATTTAATTTTAGGTTAAACAATATGCATGTTTTTTCAAACTTTTTTTTCCGGACTTATGCATGAATTATTTAGACATTGTTAGGATTATTATTATTTTATCATCAATCAAATTTATTATTTCCAAATTATTTAAAAAATACCCCCTCATGTCAAAGTTCCAAAAAAGTTTAACATGTTAATTATAAAATATTAATTTGGACATTAAAAACTATTTTCCGAAATAAAATATAAAATATATATTATAAAAAACAGTTTAATAATATACTGTTTTTTATTAAACAGTTTAATAAAAAACAGTTTGACAAAAAAAACAGTTTAAAAAAAAACAGTTTGATAAAAAAAAATTTAATAAAAAACAGTTTAAAAAACAGTTTAATATTAACAGATTGCAATCAAATAAAATCAGATTTTAATAAAAAACAATAAAAACTGCTTTCCAAAATAAAATATAAAATATAGATTATAAAAACAGTTTAATAGATAACTTATTTTTAAACCGTTTAATAAAAACTTTTTTTATTAAAAAGTGAAATAATAATCATTTTTAAAGTTTAAAACAATCTGTTTTTCATTTTTTATGAAAAACAGATTTTTTATTCAACAATTTTTATTAAAAAGTGAAGTAATAAAAAAACAGATTTAAATAAAACTGTTTATATAAAACTGTTTTTATAAAACTTTTTTATATAAAACTGTTTTTGTATAAAAATTTTTTTTATATAAACTGTTTTTTTATAAAACTTTTTTTAAATAAAACAGTTTTATATAAAAACAGTTTTGTATAAAAACGGTTTTGTATATAAACGGTTTTATAAAACATAGTACGAAAAGTTAAAAAATAGTACGAAAATGCAAAAAAAAATATTTTTTAACATGTACGAAAATAAACTTATGTTCCCTCATGTAAACTTGCCTAAAAGTTTAACATGTTACATTTAAGAACAATTTATAAAATTACCACCTCTCATATTAAACTTACACACAGTTTAATATGTTTTACACATTTTCAATTGATAAAACTTGTATAAAAATTTGATCTTCTATTATGATCGTACTAACATTCAAAAATATCCCCTCATGTTAAACTTCCAAAAAAGTTTAACATGTTAATTATAAAATATTAATTAAGACAGTAAAAACTGTTTTTCGAAATAAAATATAAAATATAGATTATTAAAAACACATTAATAATATACTGTTTTTTTATTAAACAGTTTAATGAAAAACAGTTTGATAAAAAACAATTTAATAAAAAAAATTTAAACTTGCCTAAAGTTTAACATGTTACATTTTATAACAATTAATAAAATTACCACCCCTCATATTAAACTTACACGCAGTTTAATATGTTTTTCACATTTTCAATTGATAAATGTATAAAAATTTGATCTTCTATAATGATTAGACTAACATTTAAAAATATAAATTAATATATTTTAGATGAGCAATGAACAATCAACCTCGCGTACCCGCCCAAACTATGTGCCCTTAACCGAAGCGGAGCGCAACAATGAAAATGCGCTTTGGGTGACGCCCCACATGGTTGCGAAGTAAGTAACTATGAATTTTATCTCACGTGAAATAATTTTTTCAATGTATCATAATGTAATCAAAACTTTTATAAATAAATAATATTAATTTTCTGAAGCGATCAAGAAGTGTTGGACCAAATCAAAGTCATAATTGGAGGACACTTTCTTGGAAACTGGGCAGCATACACAGAAGTAGACCCCAAGGTTCGTGAACTTTGGTGGAACCTTTTCAAGGTAAAAAAAATGAATTTTCTCTGCGTAATTGTATTAACGTAACATTTGATAAAAGATAAATTAATTTATTTGTTTTTTATAAAGGGTCGGTTTCGATGGACTGAAGCCCAAGGTCCAGC